ATGCCTCATTAGGCGTTATTATCGATTCGACTGCACCGGTGTTAGTAACAAGAATGTCGATACAGCCGACCGTGTTTCTCTATTGTTCTCTACTCGACGCGAATCGAAGAATTGCATAACCGTGCGTAACGACGTACGGTGAGTCGAAGGCAACGGGTACTCGAAGGCAACGAGTCTCAATAGAGACTCGTGGTAAATTGACGGGATAATGATGTATTATTGGCGTATCACGCTCGAGTAATTCCAGAAGCAATACGTGCGTAACGGTATAAGTAATGTGATATAAGTATGGCGTTAATTATACATGACAATGGCATTATTGATTTTTTTTCCAGAGATAGACTGACTATTCTTACGTTATAGATAGACTCTTATCTCGATGTAAAAGCTTTTAAGAGGAGATTGAAATCGGCTGTAAATTCGTGTTGACCATAAATGGAACAAGTTCATGCTTTTATTTATTTTATTATTATTTTTCTGAACAAGTACCTAACAGAGTAATTCACCGCACTAATGAAGGATCGTTGCAATCTCGAATAAAATAACGTAATTAACCGCCAACATTTCTGGGTACACAGTCAGAGGATGTCGACCGGGCAAGACCGTTATCATGACGGAGGCCGAGGTACGTGGCCTCTGTCTGAAGTCGCGGGAAATTTTCCTGCAACAGCCGATCCTATTGGAATTGGAGGCGCCGCTTAAGATCTGCGGCGATATACACGGCCAATATACCGACCTGCTGCGACTCTTTGAGTACGGCGGCTTTCCGCCCGAGGCGAACTATCTGTTCCTGGGCGATTACGTTGACCGAGGGAAACAATCCTTGGAGACGATATGCTTGCTGTTGGCATACAAAATCAAATATCCAGAGAACTTCTTCCTGCTGCGCGGCAATCACGAATGCGCTAGCATAAACAGGATATATGGCTTTTACGACGAGTGTAAGCGGCGATATAACATCAAGCTTTGGAAGACCTTCACAGACTGCTTTAACTGTTTGCCGATCGCCGCGATTATCGATGAAAAAATCTTCTGTTGCCATGGCGGGCTCAGTCCTGATCTGCAGGTAACTAGAGAGATTCTTTGATTCTTTTCTCGTATAAAAAGAAACTTATTCGATTGGGTAAAAGTGCAATAAATATATATTCATACTTTGTCTTGTTTAGGGAATGGAGCAAATCAGAAGAATCATGCGTCCAACTGATGTACCTGATACCGGTCTCCTTTGTGATCTTTTATGGTCCGATCCTGATAAAGATGTTCAGGTGAGATGTTTTTATATCAGCAAATCTCAACGCACCAATTAGATTAATATAGTAAGGATTTCTCTAATCGCATATTAATGTTTTAGGGTTGGGGTGAAAACGATAGAGGAGTCTCATTCACATTCGGTCCAGACGTCGTGTCGAAGTTCCTGAATCGTCACGATATGGATCTCATATGCAGAGCTCATCAAGTGGTCGAGGATGGCTATGAATTCTTCGCTAAGCGACAACTCGTTACACTTTTCTCTGCGCCAAATTACTGTGGCGAATTTGATAATGCCGGTGGAATGATGAGCGTTGACGAAACGTTGATGTGCAGTTTCCAGGTAATTGATGAGAGAATTTTCCTTTCATTCCTCTTTAATGTCATTGATGTAACATATCCAAGTTTACCGCGCCGTGTCTCGCATCTTTTTGCAGATCTTGAAACCATCAGAGAAGAAGGCAAAATACCAATATGGAGGAATGAACACGGGTCAAGCAGGTAGACCATCTACACCACAAAGGAATCCAGCGAAAAAGAAATGACAGCCTTCAACCGAACCTGCACAACAAACGCGATTATCCTTAATGGAGGCTATCATGCTAGGTAAATCTGCTTTATGCTTGTCAAAGCTTACTTAATCACACTAGCTGACCACTTATGTGCATTATTACGAGTCTATTTCCCACGATTATCAGTTGAACAGAAAAAGAGAAAAGGAACAGAAAAAAAGAAAGAAACGAAAGGAGAGCGGAAGAAAGCGAAATGTAGGACGTTGCTCGATATATTTAAGTTCGTACAATGATTCACCGATGATTTAGATGTAATACTTAGCATGTGACGTTTCCAACACATGTACACGCACTTCGGGGCAAACACGATTTAAGTGAACTTGATTTATGATTCAAAGATACATTAATGGAATCACTCGGACACATGGGCTTGCGAAAATTCTTAATGCTTTATAGCCGATGCGCTTGTCGAAAATATCGAGTTTCTCAGATGCTGTGTATCTGATCTAGCCTTTGATTTTCATGTGTTTCAGCACGAAGACGCCGAGATACAGAATTAACCTAATCTGATAAACATAAACCTAAAAAAAGTGTAAGATTTACTTCTCTCTCAATTGCATTTTAACGTGATAAGAAATATAAATAATTCGCGGTGAATCAAGTTTCGATTATCGTACTTGACGAAGGGATTGCTCTCAGAATTTTACAGCAATTATGGCAATTATCTACCATGAACGAAGTGATCCCTTGTGTAAAGCTAGTACTCTTTGAAAAGCATTTCATCATTCTCATTTGTATTTATTGCTTCCACTGTTGATGTTGAGTGTAATTATGAGACTCGCTGTTATTATATATTATTAATATTATTTTTATTTTTAATAGTATTTTTATCATTGCTTTAGCAGCTAATTTAAATATCATCGTTTCGTGAGAGATGCGCGTGTATATAGATAGATATATATATACATATATATATATTTTTGACCATTTATTTTTTTCTCTTAAACCATTACCCATTACAAATTTAATTATATCGTCATGTGCAGTATTCCGAGCGTGATAGTGACTGCACGTTCCAGAGATATGTCGTAGACGAATTAGGTTGTTTATTCTCGGGCGATAAATCCGGAGAGAAACACAGAGAGCTAGTATTTTTAAGATAAATATACTTACGCCTTTATTCGAAAGATACTAGAAGGAGGGAAATCGTGAAGAAGAGAAAAATGAGAACATGTAAAAATGAGGTCGCATGTATACAGAATTTAAATGCAGAATTTCAGCTTTTTATTCTCGCGATGAAAGCAAACATGAATGCAAATACGCATTGTTATCGATTTACGGAAGATTTATCGCATATTGTAAAGATTATTTCAAATTGTGTGAACATTTTGTTAGTGATTTTACAGGCGGATCTATGTATTTAGATTTTGATGAGTTGAAATTTCGCACTTGTTATATATGTTTATGCTATTTAGACATAAGGGACATTCATGTGATAGAATAAAACTTATTAATTTTTGAACAGGAAAACCTTTGACGGCACACCGCATTTAAACGTTTGGTGCATTTATTTAAACATTTATAAATATGTTTATATCCAGTTTTTTGTTTTCTTTTTTTTTATTGATCTCAAATTTCATGTAATTTCTATTCATTACTGTTGAAATCGCTGCAGTAATATGATTGTTTTATGGATTTTTAAAATGATGCATTACATAACGTTTCCTTGCTGCGCTTTTGTTCTGTAAGTGATATTGTATTATTATTTGCGATCATCTGCGCAATAAAAGTCACATCATCGGAAAGAAAGTGCGTTTCGACTTTCTAATTTCTAAGAATATTATTCTGATTTCGAAAAATATTAAAATACTATTGCATTATGAAATTTGCAGAGAAGTCTTTTATAAGTCACATTATGTACGAAGAAGAAAATTTGCATTTCAGGAAGCAACAACCGATTAAATAATGATATTTGAGAGATTATAATCATAGCGAAGATTTTTGTTCTCTAATAATGCGCAAATGTGTTTTCTAGAGATTTAATATTTACTATTGGCAAAATATTATATTTTATAAATACTACTAATAAACATGATGTATACGTCGAAATTTACGAGCTATCGATAAAACGCGTTTGTCACCGATTAAATACAGACTGACGATTAATGAGATTGTATCGTGCGAGTTATTATGATTGCGAAGACGATCTGGGAACACGAAGACCGTACATCAAAACTGAAAACTCACCCAGAAGCAGAGATCAATCAAACATAACGGGCCTTTTCGTGGCAACGACGCCACAATTGGTTCTCATATTATTACGCTATATTTTACTCAATGGTTGTTCATTATTTGATTGCTATTTAACATTGGATAGCGCTTGATAAAGTATTTATTATTCGATGTATGAGAGAGATGCAGTGCAAATTTTTGTTTTAAAATTGGAGCCGACGAAACGAAAAATGTCCTTTCCATCCTTCCTTCCCTGCGTTTCTCCCCTAGTCCCCCAAAAAAGAAACGCAAAATTAATTATGTCAAAGGAGCGGTTGTGATTCCTTGATATATGCGTTCTTTTCGTCCGAGATTCATATATTATATACAGATATTATATTTGTAAAGGGTTGACCGGTCGCGATTCGACGATATACTTTACTAAATAAATAATAAAATGAAGGTGCTCTCTCTTCTTGTGGGAGGAGCTTGTGACTATCGTGGATTGTTACATCGTTCGAATCGCCGATAACGGAACACGCTATGCAATGGCATCCTAGAGATGTAAAACTTTCAGATAATAAATATGCATATTGTTGTACAAAACCTTTCTTTCAGCTTATTATTCTTCCCTGGCTCTTTAGTAAGAAGGCAAGAAATCTTCTGCGTAGCAGAAGTTGATTTTTAAATATGTACAATATAATATACACATGTATATTTTTTTCTTGGTAATACTTGATGTTTTTTCTCGATGTATGTATGTATTTTTTTTAAGGAGATGTCAAACTTTTTGATGCCAAAATTATTAAAGATCTAAGAATTTTTTTCATTTTTACACAGATATTACATCATTAATTTAGAAATAATTGACCGAAATATACTTTCAAATTGTTATTAAATCGAGTATGTATTATATTTTATAGTTATTTTAACTTGTTGAAATTAATAATAAATTATAAATTTTTACAGTTTTATAATTATTTCTGGAAGGAAAATAAGATTGGGTAAACTGATCGTTCTGTAATAAAATTTTGGCAGTGTTTATTTTATTTCAGATTATGGATGAAAGGTACAATAAATCATATGATGTGGGAAAAGTTAATAAATAAATAAAATTTTGTGAAAATATGCACTATGATGGAGACGTCAAAATTCTTTCGGGACATGATGTAATTTTTATTTCTTTTTTTGGTTGACCTTTTTCAGGTACTATTTTGTTTTTTTTTCGTCGTTTTTTTGTTTCACGCTTTCCATGTGGCACCAGGCAGTCGTCAGTAAGCGTGAGCTGCAAAAAGAAGAATGTGTTGATCAAATATAAAAAGATGGAACGACAATCACGTGCACTTATGGAAAAATATTTAAATGAGAAAGATAATATTTGAGAAATTACAGATCATTGTCGCAATACGAGACGTCGAGATAAGCTCAATTCTTGATTTATACGTTATTATTTTTCCATAAGATCTTATTTCGAGATTTCTACTGGAGGAAGTATACAAACTAAAATGATATGCGACATTAAGATCAATGCAAGATTTTTAGAAATCGAAAATTTGACATGCTTCAATTAATCTTTAAATTATACATGCGTTGTACATTCTCCTGTAGAAATCTTCAGAAAATTTAGCAGAACGATTTCATAGAACTTTTATACAATGTACAAACATTAAAAAACTCAGGTTTTTACACGTCCTCGTATGCGGTGTAATGTTTCAACTATTCTGGTGGCAGTTAGTCGTTTAGAGATACCAGATAAACACATTAAGACACTACATTAATATTAATCGCTAAATATGGATTTAAATTCAATACAGCAAGCTAATCTGGCAAATTATAATTCGAACTATTCTACATGACATTTAATATATTAGCTAATACTACGTCGAACAGAAATATTACACCGTGGACGAGGCCCCCTAGTACTCGTCTGGGGGTATTCGGACATAAGTATTCGATACACAAATGTCTCTCACTGGAAAAACTCAAAATACATATATACACATTAGTCAACTGAAAATATACGTAAATGAAAAAAGTAAAATAATAGTTCGTAAAATATACACTGAGAGAAAAATGTACTAAATTTTAATAAATAATTGTTTGAATAGTACTAATACAACATTTATTTACGGAAAATAAATATTTGTTAAATAAAATATAATAATAGATAAATCAAATTAATAGTTTTTGTACCAAATAAATTTATATTTACATTTAGTAAATGTTCAATTGGCACTATTCGAATAAATATTTATTAAAATTTAGTACATTTTTCTCTCAGTGTAGGCTCTCAAATCATGTACAGACCGTCGTGATAGATGTTGATTATATTATAAAACAACTTTATGATTAGATGATTATGCTACCGATTACGTGAGGAATTAGGATGATGTTTCGTTAACAAAACCCTTCGGCTACGACGCTTCTGGACTGCCGTTCCTGTCTTCGAGGACAGCCAAGAACGATTCATCTTTATGCTAAACATCGATCCCACAAGCGGTGAGTGCTATATGGTTTGCGAATGCTAATAATCGCGAGTGACACGTTGATTTTAACACTAGAAGATATATTAGCTTCCGTTATGTTAAGAAATTGTGTCATGTTGGCTTTCTTATATTTTTATTTTAATAGCAAGATAAGTAAATTTATAAAATTAATAATAGATATGCGGATACTTATTTCTTTCATCGATAGCACATTCACTGAAATTTAATAAAAAAAAACTTCTATTCTAGCTGTTTGAAAAAATAGGTCTGTTCGTGCTGTTTGTACATTTTGCACTTAGTATCTTTGCTTTTTCTCTTTTTAATATTCAAATTTATATATTTATCTCATTTTAAGTGCAAACGTTTTTGGGGATTTCAAACAACGCGAACAGATTTAATGTTTAACAAATTATAGTTACTTCGATCCTGAGAAGTAAACTTAACCGTAGCTATACACACTTTTTTTTATTCTTGATATACACACTCGGGTCCCTGGAATTCTATATTTGTTACTGTAACTTCCATAAAATAGACATATTTCAATTAATTTTTTTTTTATTGATGGAGAATTGATTAAGGAATAAGTCCATTGTATTTAAAAGTCGATAGAATTAAGAAGCTTCGAGATATATAAGTTCAAAGAAAAAGAAGAGTTCAAAAACATGAAAAAATCTCGATTTAGCAAATTGCGCTGAGGTTTCGGAGATCTCAATGTGTTATAGCTAGGGTTAAAACTCTTCTAGTGTTAACAAATAAATGTGGCGAATGTATATCATGCAGCGATCTTAATTTGCATCATAACAGAGATTTTTTTAATCACTGTACAAACAACTATTTCACCACTGAGACAGACAGATATTATCGGGCACATACCGCGTGTTCGAGATTCTGTCAGCGACTCCTCAGCCGGAGTAATGGCTCGGTAATTAATAGTTACCACAAGGATTAGGGAACATTCTTAAGATGCATTCTGAGGAAAACATTTGGGAAAAATAGTCGAGTTAATATACACGAGTGTAATCGGGGTTACGCGAGAGGAGGAACGCATTTCTTGATAGGACTATTGATACAATAAAGATTTACAAAAATGAACAAACACGCGTGGTAGCCCAAGGGTTAAGAGGCCCGAATTCTCTCTTATTCAAACAGCCGTCGTAACACGGGCCTATTAACGATATACAATATACGCTGATCGCTTATTTGTTACGTTCTACTTGCATGTTAATTAGCCAGTGTAATACGCTTTAATGTGGCGCAAACGAGGATCGTTTTTGGAATGTATCGTGATGCCACTATCCCCGCTGACTCTGATTGAGATTATTGATTGTTTGACTTATTAAACGAGTAAATAGGGTGTGAGGGATTCAACACTTCGACCACTTTAATCTCTTATCGCTCACTTTTTTGCTTAATACGTGGTACGTTTATTGTACCACGGGCTGGTAAAGTGAAATCGTGGAACTGGCTGCGAATAATAGTAGTATAACGCTCCTGAAATGATAGACATTCGTTTGCTGTAGCATCGGTCTCATTACATTAAATCTGCATCGGACAATCTCGGTTTCAAGTCGATAGAGTCGAGTCTGTCGTTAATCACTTGTCTTTGGTGAGATTTCAAACAGGACAAAAATTAAAAAAACGCGTCTAAAAGGTGTCTGAAGGATATTTGCAATGTTAAGGCACCTTTCGGACGTTTTTTAAGATTTTTTTTGGGACTTGTATGTTATTCAGTTTGTAAAAAAATTATGTAACGTTCACTTTCAAAAGAAAAGCAACTACTTGGCTAATTAAGCAAGAATAAAATTTCGCAGTCTGTTGAAAAATGTGGAACGCGTTCAAAAAACAAAGTTGCCCGAAATGTCGACTTCGCCAGTTTTTGGCACCAACTGTTCTCAATTTTACAGTTCGAAGAAGCTGATGGCACGGCTTTATGCCTGTGCCAAAATCACTAGCAATATCGCCGATGTGCCAAATATCTCCATATGGTCGCGACGGTTTATATTTTTGATCGAGGTGACAAGTGAAAGAATATTCTGACCTGTTTTCTGACGTCACTACTGGCGATGACTTCTATCACTTAATTCATGCTCGAACTAGCCGACTCAATTTGTGAGAAAATTTATTATATACACATATACTATATGTGTATATATATATATATATATATATATAAATCGATTATAATTTTTAAATGGCGATTTCCATCATTTTTTAATTTTTCAAGTTCCATTTAAATTTTATACAATCAATCGTTTTGCGTCAAAAGAAAATTTTATATTTTTCACGAATTTTAGAAGAAAATTTATTGATTCTGTAAAGTATAATCGAAAGAAAAATTTTCGCCAATAGAAACGCTTTCCTAAATGTCTAATGACTTTGATAAATGTGAAAAATTATCAAAATCCATACCGAGACTATGGCTATTCTACTGGTAAAAAGATAGACGGCTGACAATGAGTATGAGTTCCAATAGCTCACGTATATTACGAAAACGAATGAAAACGAAAAACACTTCCTGTGCGAAAAATATCTCGTCTTCGTAAGACTGTGTTTAAACTGTAATTTAATAATGCATGTTAAGTGCATGTTTTAAAAAAGTGCATTATATTCTAGACTACTATACTTTGCTATTTGATGACAATTATACAAAATTTTCGAAAATTTGAGAAATTATAATACTAGCTTTTTCGCATCTTAATAATATTATAATAGTATTTTTTCTAAACATTTTGCGATAGTAGTCTAGATCTAAAGATGTGTATTTGCGATTACAAATGTCTTCTTAAGAAAATTAAAAAACAAGTAATCGCAAATACATATATTGCAATTACTGACTACAGGTCTACGAAAAAACTGTTTATCAAGAAATTATTTAAATATTTCACATGTCTGCATTTTTTAATTTGGTGGGGAATTAAAAGTACATGTTATATTTAACGTATAACATATTAATAAATATATCGTGGTGATCTAGCGGAAATTTCGCAATGCTTCGATATCTTTTAATAGCATCTGTAGTCAGTGTTTGTCAATGACCAATGCTACTCACGTCATGTGAACTTGTGCAATAAAGTTATGTGCAATAAAGTTATGTTTGAAATAAAGTTATTATTACTATTGAATATAGTTTAATAAATGTATTATTATTGATTTATTATTGGTCTAATCATTAAAATTGAGTTGGCATTGATCTTTGATTAGCTTGAAAAAGAATACGAACGATACGTTGCTTAAGTCAAAGGACTAAGTAAGTCATACATACCGAAGGGCCTGAAAGGATGTCGGCTCCATAGATAGCTACGTTTAATTGGACTGAGGTAACTGTCCCTCAGAAAGAACGGTGTGCGGTATTGAGCGTAACTCGGAATATAGGGCGCGTAGCTTGGGTACCACCATGGGTCCCTAGTAAACGCACTGATGGGTGCCATCGGTGATGGTTCCAGGAGATCGAAGTACGGCTTCCTGCGTAGCAAGACCGACGGACGTGGCAATAAGAAGTCGTCGTCCACGAGATTACCTGTGCGTGAGACGAATTTAATTGGAATCAATTGCAGACTGCTTCGCGGATGGCGCTGAGCTCTTGCCGAGGTAGATAGATATTGTTTATAAATATATACTAGTTATGTAAGGCTATACACGCGGCTGTAAAGCAGCCTTGGTCTTCTCTTATGAGCTAGAACGAAATATTATTAGCAGTGATTGTTTAGCAAATGCTATCTTTACGATCTATCTAAAGCTGCTAGAATAAGATAATATTTTTACTTGTAAGATGAAATTTAAGAAAGGAAAATAAATTTCTTCTTTATTAAAATTTAAATGATTTAAATCTTTAGGCAGGATTATTAAATTTAATAAAATCTTGAAAAATAAAGTTTATCTTGTTTTTATAAATATGTATTGTATATATACGATTGAAAAATAGAAACCAATTCATTATCACTACTTTTTCAGTTTCTCATAGTTCGAGAAGAATAAAACAAGAATACAGTAAATTAAAAAAAATAGTACTAAATTACCATATTTTTGTGGCAATTTAATTTAATTTTTTTATTTATTAAAATTATATTATTTTATTCCTTTCATAATACAAAAATTTAGAAGAAAATAATAATTAAATATGTTATAATATAATGTAAATAAGTACATAAATATTTTTTTTTTAAATAAAAGTAAATTTTATTTTTTAAATAAATATAATTTAATAATTTTTTTTGAATAAAGCGATTAAACTATTATACTGACATAGCTTTTTACACTATTAACGTAAAATAGTATTGTTTATTATTAGTAATGTATATAATTAGTCAAATTGCGATACATTTATTGAATTAAAATTTAAATAATATTCTTATATATATATAAGATTTCTAAAACATTCTTCGAATAGAATTAATCATTGTTGATTAATATAAATTCTAAACATTAATTATTTTGAGCACTGCTATAATTTTTTCTTGTATTTGTATGTTACAGAGAACCGTTGTATTAAGTAATATTTTTGCGAATGTTGTGTAAGTACAATGAACTCTAATCTGAAAGGAGGAGAAGGCTTAAAAGACATCAGGCGATGGCGAAACAAAACCTTATGGTAAGTTATTAATTTTTTATACATTATTTGCTATTTTAATTGATTATTTCTTTATTTTTTAATATTATATTCAGATTTCAATAAAAATTAGAATAAAGAGACTCGTTATTTGTAAAATTAAATTTTTCTACTTAATTAAGAAAAGAAATTTTATAAAAATTATATATACTTATTTCGTATGTTTGATCATAAAATATGAATATAAAATTTAATGAGTGATGCAAAATAATTATTTTTAAAATATAAAAATATTTTGCTAATTTGAACGTTGCTATAATTTTTTCTTATATTTGTATGTTATAGATTAATATCGCAATTACAGCTTCACTGTTGCACATCATGTCGGTGAGCCAAAAATTAACTTTTAGATTAAAGTAGTGGATCAGTGAAAATTGTATTAGTTATATGAAAGAGATGTAATAAGTTAGGAACATAAGAATATTATACAAATTAATTTAATGTTTCACAGATCCATTGCCTTGGATGAATGGGCTAAAAAATTAAGATAAATTATTTATTTGTTGCAATAAAGATAATAATTAGGTTCTTATTTATCAAAAATTTAAGCTTAAAAAAGATCCTTTTTGGAAATTATATATAATAATTATCTTACGCGTATAATAAATTATTTGAATGTTATGCAAATATCTTGAATGAACAGCAAAGAAAGATTAAGAAAGAAAGGTTGCAGAGATTTATCGAAGGAAAAAGTTAAATAACTAAGCACACGTGGTTCGGGAACGTCGTGTAAAGTATCGCGCGATTATTATATTATAAATTATAACAACCGTTTCGGAAGTGCCATACAAAGTATCGCGCGATCGTAATTTTTTGCATTTTCGCAAATATTATTTGTGTGACAAACCCTGATCTAAGAGGAGGAAGAGGCCTAGGAGACATTGCGTAACAGCCAAATTATTTTTTATATATTATTTGTATATTATTTTAATTGTCTTTATTTCTTTTTTTTTTCAATGTTCAAAATTAGATTAATATAAACGTTTCAATAAACAGGTTTTTCCTTGTAAAATTATTAAATCTTACACTAAAGAGAGAGATTTTATAAAAATTATATAATTATTTTTTTTTTTTAAATATTTATTTAAAGTACGAATATAAAATTTAACGAGCAAAATAATTTTTTTTAATATTAGCTTTTTTGCGCTATTATAATTTTTTCGTATATTTAGATATATATTATAGATTAACGTCGCAATTATAACTCCGCTGCTATCACATCGGTAAGTCAAATTAATTTTTAAATCGATGTAATGAATCCATGAAATTCTATATTCTTTAATTCGACATTTTTAATATTTCTTTTTCATTTTCCTTTTCTTTCTTTTTATTTAATTCTGGCATTGAAATTCTCGATGTAAGAGAGCTCACCATGACAGGATAATTTTTACTTTATATATGTTAGTGTGTGTTTGCTCTGAGGAAGGCTCAAAAATGAGTCGAAACATGTAAGCGCGTTTAGTGAATAAAGAAGTTTCACTCTTTATAAGTGTATTATTTGCGCGACGTCTTCTGTGCCTGACTCCTAGTGCTCTTACTCTTTCCAATTCTATGAAAATTATGTTAGATATACATAAGATGTGAATGTAGCAAGTTAGGAATCATACATCAAGAGAAAAATGTACTTAATTTTAAGAACTAATTGTTTGAAATTAATAATATGACATTTATTCACGTAAAATAAGTATTTGGTAAATAAGAATATAATAGTTAAATCAAATTAATGGTTCTTGTATCAAATTTGTTTACATTTAATAAATATTAAAGTGGCATTTATTAAAATTTAGTACACTTTTCTTTCAGTGATGTAATAAAAACCATAGATTTATATTACGTCTATATTAAGAATATAAGAATAAATACTATTTATTCTTATACAATACGCTGATTTTTTTATCCTAATTTTTTAGGATAAAATAGCCCATTCATTTATTAGGTGTTGAACTTAATTCCTGCCGCTCGTTTAATTTAAAACAATGTTCCACACCTTTAAAAAATCTAAAAAAAAATTTTTTTAATGTAATATGCTAAAAAATGTGTCAAACTTTTTAGCATATTACATTACAAAAATTTTTTTTAGATTCTTTAAAGGCGTGGAACATTGTTTTAAATTAAGCGAGCGGCAGGAATTAAGTTCAACACCTAATATGTTTGTTATTATTGCGTCAATTTCATATATGATATGTCAGATATAATAGATCAAAATGCTTTACAAATGATATATTTAGTATAATATTAAGAAAAAATGTGTGCAATTTGGAAATTAAATATTATATTTGCTCTTTATATTTTTATTATATTATATTTGCTACTCACCGTGAATATCGAACAATCGTTTCGTACTGAGAGGTGGGCTTAAGTGACGAGCCAAAAGTGGTGATTTGCTCGGGTAAAGTCTGTCGATATCTGCCAAGCGGTTCAGGTGGTCATTCCAAGCCTTCTCAGCGTCGAAGGATTTCGCTGTATCGTGTAATTTTGCCATTTGTTAAAATGAAAGCAATAATCAGCTGATTTACAACTTCGTTCGACCGTTTTTTTTCGACGAACACGTTGCGAACACCTTTCGTGATTGATTCGGATATTAAAATTTTTTACAATTTTAAAATAATTTTAACTATATATAAATTATGTAAATAATTTTGCTAAAATATTTAAAGTTGTTAGATCAAAATTTATTTAACGCATTCGCTACGTTTCGTCCGTGATAGGGAATATATCGATTAATTTATATAACGTCGAGAATCCGCGAAAATCTCATACTATTTTACTTTTAACATTATATATATATATATATATATATATATATATATATATGAACTTAATTTTAAGAATTTATTAAAATATTAGAACTAAATAAAATCATTTTAGAACTATCATTACTTTGAATATGTACAATATTTAGAAATTTTTTATATATTGTATGATTAAATATTACTGATTACTAAAAATCTATGGTATAATATAATAATGCTTATAAATAAATCATAGAGAAGTTTTCTATACCATGCATTTTAAAGTGAAAAGACAGGACTTTAAATTTGCGTTTAATTTTTTTTATAACATTTTGTTCCTAAATTACGTTAAATTGAAGATTTATATTTTTTGCAATATCTTTTCTTATCTTAAAGCGCTGCGGTTTGATGAAACCGGACAAAATTTAATAGAAGAGTATTGTAAAGAAGGCTTTCTAAGCTTTCAAATACTTTTTAAAAAAAATTAGTATGATGATTTTTCGCAAAGATGTCGAATTTTTTTGTTGTGTAAAATTTATTGTTTAAACATTTACTTTGTCTATTATGATTTTTAACTTTGAAACTAAAAGACTAACTAAAAAAAGACAAAAGAGAAAAAATTATTATAATGTGCTTGATTCATATAAATTTTTTCAAAATTTCTTAAAAACTTTCTCCGATCATTAATTTAAAAATTTTTACACAATAAAATTTTATACAATAAAAAAAAAATTTAATATCTTTGCAAAAAATCATCGTACCAATTTTTTTAAAAAGCATTTTAAAGCTTAAAAAATCTGTTTTGAAATACTTTTCTATTACATTTTGTCCGATAATGTTTCATTAAACTGCAGCGCTTCGAAGATGAAAATATTGTAAAAAATCAATTTCCAATTTAATGTAATTTAGGAACAAAATGTTATAGAAAAAAATTTAAACGCAGACTTAGAGCTTTATCTTTGCATTTTAAAATGTATGATCGAAAATTTCTCTACCATTTTTTTCACAGAAATATTTAACTTTTCATGAAATATGAAAAGACAAAAATATTAACGTCAAAATGTTTATGGGCGTTACTGTACGTACGATAAAATATTTATATAAGTGTGTCAGTATGTATAAATTCCTTTTTGCGCTGCCACGAAAAAAATATCGTAGAAAAACAGACACGCGGATTTAATTTAAAATCGTCTCTGAATAACATATATATTTTTTCTATTTGAAAAGGATCAATAATTAATATAATATAATTAGTATATATAATACTTTTCGATGAGAAAATTAACAAAGTCTCATATTCATACAATTCGCTAATGTGCGATCGATTGTTCTGATAGGATCTGAGATAGCTTTTAAAATCTATTTTAGAGCCTAATAGAGCATATCGGTTTGAATTCATTTGCATATGGCCCAAAATTTTTGCCAAATTGATCTCTATTTTTACGCTCCATTTTCTCTTCTTTTAGTGTTTTAGCGAGTAGGCGTTTTAACTTCTAATTATTTTTGCAATATTCGTTTTTTTTTGCAATAATAATAATAATTTTATATTAAATACATATACGTACATACATCATGCACGAAACACAGCAGGTATTATTAATTATAATGAGAGAACTATTAAATTAAAATAGGGGAATTATTTGGCATAAGTTACCTTTATATGAATATATTGTTCAGTTCTGAAAAAGTACTAAAAATTACAAATTGCACTTGTAACGCATTTCTTGTTATTCCTGCGTTTAATTAGCAAATGACGGCTTTTTAAAATATAATGAGCAAGTAATTAGAAACTTTGACTTGCGATGTACTAACTTATAGAGAAACTGTTTCAAACTTTCGTTTAAAGTTATTCGGTTCACCTAGGAAAATGCGGGAAATTAAAATGCTAGGGTTTCGTTCCTGTTTTCCATATCGTTGTAAGCCGTGCGCGTCTACTGTAAATTCTTCTTTCTATTATAGAAAATCTATTATCGAAAGCTGGCGTAAACTCGTGTTACACACGAGGCTGTATGTAAAAAAATCAGTTGTCACAAAAAATGGCATGACGTCACGTAAAATGAAAAAAAAACATACTAACCTTGTGGAAAAAAAGCTGCTTCAAAAAGTCGGTGACGCAAAAAAAGCTGCGGCGGTTTGTGTCGTCAAAAAATGGCTTGGTTATCAAAATTCGTAATGGAAAAGAGATAGAGAGACGATGATCTGTACTGCTAAAAATGCGATTTATATGCCTAATTATAGTTATGATGGCTACACTATAGTTATGATGGTTTATATACTAAATTTTCTTTTTGCGTAATTATTGTGTGCTCAGCACTACCATTTTAAGCTAGTAGAAGCTTGGCACTAGCAGTAATTATCGATATCGATAAGGTTGTCAATTTTCGACTGCTTTTACTTTGTAACATAACACCTCTCGTATACACCTCTCTAAATATTAATCTAATGTTTCTGCACGTGTTATTAAATTTATAATCTAAATTAAATATTTGCTGATCATTTAGTACAATCTTTCTTTAATAAAACGATGATTGATATATTAAATTTCCATTTCTCCATTTTAAATCTTCTAACTAACCCTTTTCACGTAAAATGCCCCATATATAGGTCTTTTTCCGTTATTAATGCTTCAATGACTGACAATCCATCAACTTTCTGCCATTTGTCGTAAGTCAGTTAATCGATCACACTGTACTGAAAAAAATTTATGTAATTTTACATGGAAATTACACATGTTTATGACGGAAAATTATTTAAATATGATTGGAAATTTACTTAAATTGTAAATTTTCAATCATATTTAAGTAATTTTCCGTCATTAACATGTAATTTCCATGTAAAATACATGAATTTTTTTCAGTGTGCCTAAACTTTCTAAGCTTGAATAAATTACATAAAGTCCTTCGTTAAAGATCGGTACGTACTAAAATCCAGGTGTGTAATCCGACGTAAACTATGTACAGTATTCGTGGCGATCCTCTATGAATATTGCGACGATCCATATACGTCCATGTAATCATCATAGATTAGCAGTCGTTAATTATGCAATACCAGTCATAAAAAAATTATGTTTGGCGGAGGTGGATCACTTAAAAGCTAGAAAAAGGGTACTAAGGAGATTGGGGATCGAAAACTAATGAAAGAAAAATACATGCCATATCCTGAAAAAGATAGAAATTTCTGGATCTGGTTGTAATTAATTGCACGTTAATTTGTCCATTGTTAGTAAATACGCGTGCATGTATTATTGCCGATTAGAGCATGTATTAAAAAGAACTTTCGATTTTTCTTTGCATCGCCTTGGATCTCTTATAATCTTTATATTAGATCATAAAAGGATCCGTTCTTTATGTTTATTAAAGTACAAATAATATAAGTATGTAAAATTAAAATAAGTATTCAAAGACAATTTATGTAAATTATATTGGTGTAAGTGTACTTTTGTGTAATGTACTTGTACTATTTTTTATTGCATTTGTATTACGTATATATGCATTGATAAAAAGAAGTGAAAAATTTCTGTGAGAAAACAGGCGACAAGTTGTATTTGAAAAATCGGAAGCACAAATTAGAACGCGAAAGCGTCGAGAGAAAATTTCCAGCTTTTTCAAGTTTTGGCGGCCATGTTATATCTCAGTTTATTTCTTCATCCAAATTTTTTTGAAAATGAGAATTTTTCCGCACGTCACTTTATCGCTAGCTCTGCTCAAATACGCATGATTTACGCATATGTAGGTGTTATTCCTTTTTAGAGCTACCATACGTCCATCACACACTCTGTGTCAATCGCAATTCCATTTTGTTTTTATATAATTATTTACTAATTTGTTATATGATTGCGTACAGTATGAATGCTGCTTAAAGTAGTGTGTATGACAATCAAGAAAAGCCAGCTTTTCCACCGCTTTATCCCATTTTCTATTCGCTGTTTTACATCTCCTTTTTGGCTCATTCGCAATTAAGCTGCGACCTGCACCTCAGCTGCAAGAGTTAAGGATTCCTGAATAGTGCATGTGCGCATCCTGTCCCTCTGATTATCTCATATTGTAAATTACGTCAAGAATCGAAAAATAGACTACAAAATGTGTTACAAAAAAATTGTATAAATAAAACGAATATTTTTTTACTTTTTTTCAGCTATCATTTTTATAAAAAACACAAAGTGAATGCAATAGATATTTTATTATATTTAAAATAAATTGTTTTTGAGAATAATTTGAAAAATTTTTGATCTATTGTAATTATTAATACATAAAATAACATTATATATGTTATATTAATAATTATATTAAAATGTATGTATAATGATAAATGAATTCTTTCTTAAATATTTATTTTACAAATTTTGCAATATTATTTAACATTATTAGCCTGGAAAAAAGATAAAACATATAAAAGTAAAATGTTTTGCAGAAAAAATTCTTTTGACAAAAAATTTAGTCGTGGTATCTTAAATTTATTTAGAAATTTTTAAAAATATAACAATTTTCTTTACTCTTGTAAAACATAAAACGTAAAAATACTCTCGAATTTTTTATTTTGGTTTTTAATCGTAATTATGTGTTTCAAAATGATTTCATGTCTTTTCTTTCTGTGATGAATTTATATTTGTGAAAAGTCGCGATGTTCTCTCGACGACCGTTTTAATATCGAAAGAAAGAAAGGAAGGAAATGGGTATGCTCAGGATTGCGGTATGAAATTGTATTGTATTATTAAAAAGCGGTTAACATTCTGTAAGTAATTATTCGTAAGTAATTGTACTTTACAGTGTGTAATTTTAAGATGATCTAATAATTTAATACAAAACCGTATTATCCTGTACAGTATTTACGTCGTGAAAAATTCATAAAAATACTCTAAATGCGTGATACGATATGCATATTAATATTTAACTTATCTTAATGTTTAAATTATTATGCAAACATAAAATATAATTAATGATCAGATTAAAATTGTATAAAAATATAATTACCTCAATCAAAGTAAAGTTATTAAAAGGTTTTATTACCTGCGCGTTAACGAATTTATCTCTTTATAACATTTCACATTACAATAATTATATTAATCCATTTAGTAATTAAATATCACATTTAATAAAATCATATAAAAAAAGTGTCATATATAAAGATTGTGGCCTCATATTAAAAAAAAAAGAGAGCATTACGATAGCAAAATGCGAATATTGCAAAAACCACGCGGAATAATTTTATTATATACATTAAAACGTTGAAAAATAATTATTGGGTGGGTGAAAGAGTGCATATGTATGTATAGTGTAATATTCGTAAATGTAAGGGTTCGCGTATAAGCAAGGTTATTTGGATCGTGCATGACGTTAGTTTATCGTGTTTCGTAAGCAATGACGTCGCGCTCGGGAGGTGAGCGCGATTCGCTCTTTGGTCTCCCACTTTCGAGAGATCTGTTGGCATCTAAGGTCGCTCAAATCGATGATGCGATTCAGTATGAGCCACTTGTTGGGTCTAGCGCCTGGAAATCAGAAATCAGAATCTCTGTTCAGGGCGTGCGAGACCGCGCGAATCGTCAATGATACCCCATTCTGATGACTTTGAATCGTTACTGGACATACGACGAACTAGAAAATGCTTTTTCTCTAGAGACGAGTCACAGGGCGACACCTTGGGCACGAGACGCATGATCCACGTGTGATCCATGATCGATGAAACGGTGAACGATGAACGATGATCCATGATGCCTGAATGCTTGATTCAAGTTAAGCATGGTATCGATAATGATCAATCCGTTGATATAATTACTTATTAAAATTAGTAGTTAATTTGATTATTAGAAAAATGTGATGATTATTAGAAGAGAAAATTGTATATATTTATTATTATAACGAAAAAACTTTATTAAAAAAAATTATTTTATCATGCCGAAAATTTAGAAAAATCAATTTCTTTATAGAACTGATCATTTTAAAATTTTCAAATAACAGATTATATTTACGCTTTATAAGTGATTTAAAATTTATTGAATTAGAATATTAAAAAGCTGATATGAGATAATGAAAGGCGATGTTAATTTAATGTAGAGAAATTTGAGGCAATTGTAAAACTTATCATAATTTGAATATCAAATATCATATTGAAATCGCAGTATGATTTTAATTAAATATTTTAATGTTATTACGAAGTTATTATGAAGTTATTACAATCCGCCCCAATTTTTTCTAATTGTGTTTATGATAGAGCATTTATTACAAGTTTATGTCACGTGTTGATCTGATTGTGAGTTTGATCTTGGTGAATTGATTAGGATCGAAAGACAGGGATATAATTCTAAAGTGGAGTTTCGCGAGGCAGAGAAGTCTTCAGATATTGAAACATATTGTACATATATTTATACGTACGTAAATGTGTTCTCATATAGAGTGATATAAGTATAATAACTTAGATACAAAGAGAGACGCGTAAAATAATTAATTAGTATTACACATGGCGTATGATATGAAGATAGACACGATATTATTATTACGATTTACAGTGAGACTAAACAAACGGTCTGATTTACACGTACGTCCAAAAAGTGCATACACATTTTACACATTTGAGTAGTGACACGTGGCGTAAAATCGGGGTTCGGGGGAGAGCATGAGGGCGAGGTTGGCGTTGGCAGGATGGTAAATCCATTTTTGATAGTTTCTTAGTTGATTTTTCTTTTTTCTTCGGTTAAATATGTAGGCAAGGTGGAGGGTAAGAATGTGATGTACGGTACCTCTCCGGGGAGGCGTTTCTGGCTTCTGAGAAAGGCCCGGAGAGCCGCGTGCGTGCGTAAGATGCGACGATGTCTTTCTCTCGAGAATGATAATTCATTCCGCTTGTTTTTTTTCGTCCCCTTTAAAACGCCGGCCAGAAGCCAAAAGCACCGGGTTATACATCGAGAACTTAATCTAAGAAGGTCCACGAGAACAAGTGTAGTTATTTGTTAACACATTTCGGTACGATGCGCCTTGTGATGATTTTCATAATCCATTCTCTGCGTTCACGCCTTTTCTCGTTTGTTACTCCCGTTCTTCGGTTTTGTTCTATTCTACTCGTTCTGTTTTTCGCGCTCCTTGTTTCTCATCTTTTCTCATTTTCTCTCTCTCACACACACTTTCTCTCTCTCTCTCTCTCTCTCTCTCGCTTTCGTTCGACATCGAGGTATTATAAGAGTTTTCGTTTCGTTTCGCGCTTTCGATTCTTTCTCTAAGACGCCGTTCACTCTCTTTTGGACTCTTTCGGTCATAGTTCTTTAGTACGTACCGGGGGTGAAGCGTTCTACAGGTTTGTACTGATGGGGATACAGCTGCCTTGGCGAGTAACCGTAGATCTCACGGTGCACGGGTAGATACCTGGAAAAGAGGGATGAAAACGTAATCCTGTTAATATTTCACAGAATCGGAATTATAAAGATATAATCGTAAATATTTAATTTGCAATACCTGACATTTAATAGATAATTTAATTATAATATCTAATATTAATAGAATTCAAATTTCTTTGTTTAAATAAAGCATTAAAGATTATAGATTAGACACGTATCATTATTATTATGTATGTTATTATTACCATTAGAAAGTAGGAGTAAAATTTCACGAAGTAGGCCGGCATAGATAAATTTAGATTTTTGTATTTTTGGATGCTTGCCAAGAATCGATATGTAAGACACATTAAGAATACATTCGTTAAACAAATAATGTGTTATACATGTTCACGAGAGTGTGAAAATACGATTCTGTTTTGCATTTTAATGTAGCGATGAACGATGGCGAGAAAAAAGTAAGGGCTGCTGTACTGTGGTTATCGTAACAATAACCATAAGGCGTATCGTAAGAATTAGTTAATTAGGGCTGCCACACACAAAATTCCGCAACAGTTACCGTAAGACGTAAACTTATGCCGATTAGCGAATCAGGATATTGCTTTAGGTCTATGTAATCTAACGGAAATGGAAATAACAATAAACTTATCCATAATCTCGCAATAAGGTGAATTTCAACCGATTAAAACTCGCCTTATGAAGTTTACCGTTATTTCTATTTCCATTAGAATACGTAAATCTAAAGCAGTATCCTGATTGGCTCATCGGCTTAAGTTCACATTCTTAAGGTTACAGAAATTTTGTCTACGGCAGCCCTTAGAGCCATGACACATAAAAAACTTAAAGGCCCATCTACAATACAC